GTTGATCGCTTGCAGAAAAGCGCGAGTTTGCGGACCGCCTGCCCGCGGCGATTATCTGAGTAGTCATCCTCGCACTTGCTTCTCGTAGTGGCAAAAAGGAGAGGTATCTGCAATATAAAAAATTATGAGTGAAAGCAAAGAAATTGTAGCATTGCCTCGAATCCTGCTCTGCATAGACCAAGTATGGTATAGACCTGTCCTTTGTCCTACTGCATTCCGCTGCGCGGGTCAAGTTGGTGAATTCCATCTCCTACTACTACTCTCCTAGGTCTCTGTCAACAGCGCGCTGAAACAAAGATATATTTAGCAAAACAGCATCGATAAAGTCCTACCTTGACGATCTCGTGCGACATATAGATGTGCAGATCCGCTTGCTGCACTTGCAGGAATCTGCTTCCATCTAAAAGGTAGCGCAGCGAGTCCGGAACATTATCCATCGTCACTTTTCGTACCGTCCTATTGACTGCTCTGAAACAAGATAAAAAATCTGGTGATTTGTGGAAAGAATGAGATACAGCGTTCTTACCTATTCAAGGCATGTATTCGGCTGTCGTATCCGTTCTTTCTTCAAATGATGTGGCAATACGGCATCTGGAAGAGATCAAATGAAGCGACGAATGGAACTCAAAACCATGGAACTTCACTTACCTCCATGATTCGACCTTTTGATTCATCCAGAACCTTAAGCCAATAGTTTATTGTTGGCTGTAGAACAGCCTCTTGATCGCCACGTACTTCTTGCAAGCACTGTAATTTACAAATTAACGCTTTTTTGTGAGAAACGAGGTTCATACCTTGTACGAAAGCGTCAGCTTTGTCCTTCGTTTTCTCGACAGGTATACATGCGTGAGCCAGCATCGTCGGGTCTTCCATGAAGTCATCTCCACTTACCTAAATTGAATTCAAGAGGTGTCCCAGTGGTCCGTTTATACTTACCTTAATCGCTTTAAAGGCGTTCGCTTTTTTGCATTGGCCGCATTGGTACGTTGCAACGTTTGGCTGTGAAGCCTTGCTTTGAACATGAAGATGTAAGATCGGGTTCCACCGGGAATTTCCTAAACGATCACTTTTTGTATACCCTTTTGACTTACATCTCTAAATCCCCTGAATGAAGATGCTGATCTACGAATTGTGGGGGTAATGGAAGCCGGTGGCACTTCTTCCTGCTGTGTTGCTAGCTGTTGCTGTTGAATTTGTGGCGCGGGTGCCTGCAAGGTTATCAGTAGAGTAGCTTGCTTTTTATAAGCATAATTCTATCCTCCAAAATCATTCATTAAATAAATTTACTTGCTCTCTATTTGTGGAGTGCGGCAGTGACTGGGCAGGCAGAGACTGTACGTAGTACTAAATTAACTTGCATATACGACGCAGAAGATCATTTTCAAACAACACCAACCTCGTTTTCAACAGTGCCATGCGGATATTGTTGAATTATCGGCTGCGTCGCATAGAGTTCTTGATTTGAAGTCGGTTGCCCTTAAATCTAGATAAAACAGCTTAGAAATTTCAAAATATCTTTAAATAATAACCTCGCTTCCATACATCTCATGTGGACGTTGAATTTGCGGCGGTGTAACGTAATACTGTTGATTTACACTTGGATTCACGTAAAACTGAATTGAAGGTTGTATGAATCATAAAGCTTGAATCAACCAAAACCTGATTTTCAAAAGATTGCTGTCAATTTGTTTGAGTAGATGGCGGTGTCGCGTAGGACTTACTCTGATTCGACGGATGCATGTAGAAAAAGACATCAAAATATGGACGAAACATGTTTCCCATGTATTCAAATAGAACCTGATTTTCGTGGTATTGCTGTTGGTGTGCTTGAGTAGTTGGCGGTGTCAGGGAAGTTTGCGCGTTGGGCTGAATTCATAGGTTCAGTATATTTTGCGACAAAGAAAATTGCCATACCTGAGTCTCAATCGCTTGATGTCCGACTGGACTTGTTTGAAGTGGCGCAGAAAACTAAAGTATTCTATACATATCGTTATCAAGTTTGGGATTGAATTTATACTTCATTTCCATAGTCTTGGTGATGAGGTTGGCTGGTATATTGTGCGTGATACCAGTCATTGTAAGAAACTTGTCCAGTATGTGAGATCTCAATGACAAATTACAGAAAATCAATGCTAACAGCATTTATTCACTGACTTACATAATAGGGACTCCCTGCAGGAAGAATTCCATTTGGAGAGGAGAATGTAGTCGAATTATTGTTGAAACACATGATAGGATCAATTTACATACTGTTTCCCATCATTTATACAAGACGTACATCGATTTGTCGATCTCATGTCAGTGCTGCAGGCACGAATGTTGTCAAACAGCATTTCGCACCTCGAATTTGAGTTGCTAGGACATCCACAATGTCATAGCACTAATCGCTGGGTCGAAATAATTGTGTCAAATCACAAGTAATGTGTTATCATCTTACCAGCGCGTCACCTCTGCTTCGCAGAGGCTCGCACTGGCTCTACTATCTATATGCCTTACTCATTCTCGTAAAATCATGGCACTGGAACTCACCGTGCTATGACGACTACCACGAATGAAACGTAAACAACTACTCATTTAGAAAGCTTTTTCACGTGAGATCGGTGATTTCGCATGGAAAAAATTTATGGCAGGAAGACAAAGGCAAATTGAATAGGTTTTTGAAATTGTCATGGTTTGATAGTCGTCATAAAGGCAATAGTCACCGTGAGCTACATCTCTATGCGAAAATCTTCTCAAATGCTTTTCTAGAACATTGGCAAACTGACCATTTACGCAAGCAGTACTTTTTGGCGTCGTTTTTGTAAAGTGATGGACTTTTGATCACCTTTTTGGGCCTAAGTTCATGGCTAGCACATTTACTTGGCATAAATATTCACGACTCTGCAGAAAGTGGAATTATGGACCCAATTTTGCGGCCCAAATGAAAAGTGGACCCGTTTGACACGCAGTTTCTGAGGGATCCACTCAACAAATCTGCTCGTGCTTTTGCATGTTGGATTTTCTTGCGGGTAGCATGCGCTGTGCGAAATTTGGGCCCAGGAGGTTGGCTGGAGCACGCTCTACGAATTTCGTAACAGACACACTCTCACACAGACACACAGACACACAAAGTCACGTAAACATCTTTAGCCCGTTATTATAAGTTATGATTATGATGATGTGCACCATTTAGAGATATGACTTCATTTCACATTTTGTGATTTTCAAAATTATTTTTTGGTAGTTATATCAAAGTCTTCGTGCAGCATTCAGCTTGTAATTAAACCAAACTTGACATAGTATTGCGTCAGGATGTGTTTTTGCCCGACTTACGCTTTCAATGTCTATTTTGAGCTATTCCAATTTTTCACATTGCATTTAAAAGTATAAAAGTCAAGAAAAATCATTTCGATGCCTCAATAATAACCAAAAGGCTATTCAAAAAAACGCCTTTTCAAATGGGTGAGGAATTTGTTTTCTTCTTCTTCAGAACTTTATTCTTGACATTTTTACATTAATTTTTGTATTTTACGAAGTTTTCGGCGAAATCCTGGGTGCTTTAGGTAGGCGGAGCTTGGACAGTTGCCAAATAGTTCTTGGCTGGCAGCCAACTCTTCTCCGCAATGCTCGCTCCTCTAATTGTCTCCCGCAGATACAGGCGGCGACTCTTTGGTTCCTCCTGCACCGCATTCATTCAAGAGCATCAACATTTTGACCAAAATTTATCGGCGAGCTTCCAGAGCGTGAAACGAGAAAAAACCAAATAAGCCTAGCCAATTCAGCCAGTTCTCTGAAAACTTGCTCGTAGGGGTTATCCGACCTGCTGATTACAAAATGCATATCTGCTTAGCAGGATAGTTTCGTATTTTAGGGTTACGACAAGTAAAATTTGGGACGACAAGATTTTTTACAATTAACCAGCCTTTCTATCTCCATTGGAAAGACGCTTGTGATACATTTTAGTGCTCCACAATCTACAGAATAAGTAATAACCATCAAAAGGTCTTTGCTGGAGTCTACTAGGGGGCTGCCTTACATCCTTGCGAACGCACCTCAACAGAAATATTCGAGAAAGTGGAAACGATATCGAGGGCATGCTGTACATCAGACAATTTGCCTTGACGATCTGAACAAAGTGCTGCTTTCGGATTTGGAATATGTTCATTGCGAAGGAAGTTATGGCGTTGCGTATTCTGCGTGATTCCCGTGATTCTACGGATCCTAAAATTCGCGAACTTCCAGAAATATCACGAACTTTGGCGGAAATCCCAGAATTCCGCGAAGTTCACGGAAATTTTGCACATTCTGTGAGCGGTATTGTGATCTTGAGCATATTTTAAAACAAATTCGATTAGACTGTCTCTCTACCATAATACTACAGTATATCTATGTGTCATTAGCGACAAATCATGGCAATACTGTTATCAGCACACTGAACAATCCAAATAAACAAAAATCTGCAAAATTGTGCGAAAACACACTGTCTGGCATATACCTATCATATCCTGCTATATTGTGGCACTCCTGTATACCAAATGATGCGTCTCGGCGAGCTGAATCGAACGGTATTCTCGAATTCAGAATTCGTCCCTTTTGAAGCGGAAATGGCGATATGACGCGGATTCCGACAAACTCTAGTGTTGTGCGGCGCACTCCGCTGCTCTCCGGCATCTAGTGGAGTTTGACGCACTCTTTTGCACTCCGGCGGACTACAGTGCAGACTTTCTTGACGAATTATGAGCGGTATTGTATCTTTGTCAACGCATGCTTTTGTATCGTATGTGACAAGCTGAATCGCATTTTTGAGTACGCGATCCGAATTTGAGTCAGATTGGAAGAAATACGCGTAACACACATGCACAATTACGCTACTGTAAATCTTAACAATTGACATATAAAGAAACGTAAGCGCAATTCAAAAATCTGGAAATAGCGGGAAACCGCATGGGGGTCCCGAAGCAAACGCTTTTTCCGGATAGCACCTTTCGATTACTGGTTCACTAGTAAGAACAAATTTGCAGAATTTTTTATGGGCGACTTTCGACGATGCTGAGAGCCTATGTGCTGCTTTTGGAGGACATGTGGCTTCAATTCACAGCTATAGAGAAAACTCTTTCGTAGCTGGTAAAAACTTTTAAACTCAAACTCAATCTACTACTTTCTTGTTTTAGAAATGGCAAGATCGGGTATCAAAACGGCTGATGATTATATGGCTAAACATACGATGTATATTGGTTTGGTACGATCTGATCATTTAAACAGCTATAATTGGACTTGGACTGATGGCACAAAGGTTGATTATCTAGCATGGGGACAAGGAGAACCAGATAATCAGGGAGGAAGAGAACGCTGTGTGCAGGTACCACATTTCATATAAAGAAGGAGTTTTGACTATCCTCGGAAGCGATGCTCTTCAGAATGATTGGAAAACAAAAGTCAAAAACACCTATGTGAGCGGGCATTAATAAGCAGGAAACATAGACCACTATCTGACCTGACACTCTGTGATTCTTATACCCAACATCAGATGCTCTCTATCTAGTGAAAGTGGTCAAGTATCTTTCTATGCTGCAAAATTTTACTTTTTGCGAAATTTATAACTTGCTGTCATCTGATACTCCCACAATGATCGGCGTGCATGTAAAACTAGCACAGGATTGGCGTGCATGCATCAACAAGCTCTCAAGTGAAAGCTGATATTTGTCTAGCTTCCACCTTACTTCGGCTGTCTCATACTTTTCTCAATTTTGAATATAACTGCAATAACAGTTCTTCTTGCAATAATACAGGGTGTCCCAAAAATGTATCGAACGTTTGATCGTTAATATCTCTCTTCTGAAGAAGTCTTTTCCCTTGCTTCAGGTACCAATCTGTAGAGCTTGCTTCAACTTAGATTTGCATTCTAGAATGAATCACTCATCTCTCTTCATTACTGTAGGATTACGGTAGAAACTTCAAAGAGGGTTTTAAGCAATGAAAGGCCATATTTTGCCTCAGAAAAGAAACAAAACAGCCTGAAAACTTTTACACTAGGCTAATTAGAGTTGCTGATTGTAAGTGTAAAGCTCCCAACTTATTATGGTGCTTCATTGAAGAGTTATGCTAGGTAAGAGGTAGCGGCCATTTTTTCAATGTTCTTAAAAAGTGCGATTACACCGTTTAGAAAGCTTCGTAATCTTCTGAATAGTTGAGTATTGGACTCAGCGTCCATAAAAACCCTATTACACATGTTTTCACACTTTTTTGAAAAAATTTGAAACGGCAGCTTTTTCCACATTGACACCATATGTTTCAAGTTTACCGTAATCCTACAGTAATGAAAAGAGATGGGTGATTTGTTCTATAAAGCAAATCTAAGTTGAAGCCAGCTCTACAAAACGGTACCTGAAACAAGGCAAAAGACTTCTTGGGAAGAGAGATATTAACGTCAAACGTTCGATACATTTTTTTGGGACACCCTGTATATGGGTCCGCGTACTCCTGGAAGCAAACAAACAAACTTTATGAGAGTTGCAAGCTGCTTTAATATTGCTCCGCCTAGAGTTTGAAACCAGTTCCTGAAAAGTTCCCAGCGCCCAAAAATCTGGGGTATAATCGACCCGAAAAATTCTGCGCACCCATGCTCACGCATATATTCTCCACGTCAAACATACATACGTACACAGTTGCCGTATCTGTAGCTTGGCTAGAAATTGAGGACAAAAAAGAATTTTATGTTTTTGTCAAAGCAATGGTGGGCTCTTTCTGCATAATCCATTCTATTGTATATTACAAACCTTTAGAAGCGCAATATAAAGTGCGTTTCATTAAGTATACGAACACTACTATCTCGGAAATTGTGGTCCTCTCTAAAGAAACTCAAATTACGCTGGTGCTGGTCAAAGTGCATAGCCGGAATTGGTGTGCGGCACAAGAATGAAAATCGTAGGAATGTTTTTTGTTTTAAATACAAATTTGTAGCCGTTCATAATTATACGAAAATTAACGAGGCTTCTTTTTTTATTCAAAACTGCTTGTTCGATTGAAAAGTTTGCGTAACAAGAAATATCTGCTACCCACTGAACCCGCACTTGACTACGAGGAGCACTACTTTTCTCACCATAGAAGATACTTTGGTCGAAGTGGCCATATGGAAAGTGATGCACATGGATAAACAGTTCTTCGAACGCTGATCTCAAAGCTGCTTTCGCTATCTGCGGAGCGTTTCTGTAAAAGAAATTATGAGCCCTTGTTCTCCCGAAAAGCGGCCTTCTTCCCTTTATCAAGGCGCGGCAAGGCATTCCCGTTGTGGCGGCGTGGTGTTGTGGTGAATGCCTGCGGTTTACATGTGATGAACAGAGTTTGAGTCCTGTTGTTCGCCCAGCAGTTTTGTTTTCCCAAAATTTTTGCTTGCCTCTGGAAATGCCGCATATGGATAATTTATCGCAAATCTCGCAACAAGTGATCAATTGGCCTATATTTTATTTGCCTGTACTAACACGTGCTCATTCTTGCCAACACTTGTAAAATCGGCAAGAGTTTGGGCAAGAGTTTGGCTATTGAACCATTTCATGCCTTTTTTGGAGAATTTCAGAACAGCTTCTTTTTGTAGCTAAAAAACTGCTTCACTTGCAAGATTTGCGATGAATTGTCCATATGCGGCACTTTCAGAGGCAAGCAAGAATTAGAAAAATACAAAACTGCTGGGCGACAACAGGACTCGAACCCTGCTCACTCACCTGTGAACCGCAGACACTCACCACTACACCATGCTGCCACGACGGGAATGCCTTGCCGCGCCTTGATAAAGGGAAGAAGGCGGCTTTGGGGGGGGGGGGAACAAAGGCTCATAACTTCTTTTACAGAAACGCTCCGCAGATAGCGAAAGCAGTTTGCGATCAGCGTCCGAAGAGCTGTCTATCCATATGCATCACTTTTCATATGGCCACTTCGACCAAAGTGTGTTCCCTGGTCAGATGTTTCCATATGCTTTGAATTCACTGCGCTTTAGAAACGTCTTTTTTCTGTAGTTCAAGCACTCTAATTAGCTTCTATCAAAACCTATGAGATGAATCAAGCTTTTTCATAGATAACTTGTTTACCGCTCAAGAAATTCCTGCGTTTTCATCGCGCTCTAAGCAAGTTCCAGCCTTGCCTTGTCAGCTGATTCAAGGCTCATTACTCAGCTTCTGCTTCGAGCAAAGACTTGCGATGGAGCAGCACACTGTTTGCATGATAATGTATCAGTGCTGAAGTTTTTGGACTTCTTTTGGAACCAATTTCCAGGGAACTAGTAATCAAGTGGTCAGACAATCGCCGGGGGCAGGCGGTCCGCAGAATTTGGGGCGTGGCCAAACCTTCAACAAGCGGTACTTCCGTGCTCTGCCAGCGGAAAGCAATACAAAATTTTCTGCAAGCCTTATCAAATAATCTCTTTCAGCGAGCGCGGGCCAAACTTTCAGCAGGCGCTCGAACTCTTTTTAAACAGTTTCGAGTTTACGCCGAACAAAGGTAAGGCCGTGCATAACAGAGGTGATCGGTGATTTGATTTCCCAAGTTTGGCGTACCTTCTCTGCGGAAGGTACCTACAAGCTGTACGGTCTCCACAAAGGACCGTGCAGCCCTCAACTTTTGTGTATTCTCGCGGAAAGCCGAAGAGAATGCGGCCACTGCGCCACAACTATTCTAAAAAAGCCGCATTTGTTCCCCGAGCATGCGTTTGAAATTTAGCAAACATTCTTCCAAATTTCTGAAAGCGGACCGCAAAAAATCAGCAAACTATTTTTCCGGTGCCCACCTGCTCATAAATCGCATGGACGCCTGCTCCCGACGATTATCTGAGAAATTACAATCATAAGCAACCCATTCCCTCAAACGACAAGAAAAGACAGAACACCTTCGAGAGGAAGCGAAAACACCGTCAGAATCACAAGGACCGTACTCACCTTAGATAACAGAAAGCGGAAGTCAGAAGACCACCTGTTTACACGACTGCGCCTCAGCTCTTTTATATGTGCCGTGATGACCTAACCTCATATTCAAATCCGCATAGGGACTGATTTGTTGCGTAAAAGAGCATTTAGATGATTTGGAAAAGTTAAGAGCATCTACGCCGCTGGGAAAACACCGTATAGTGCGTCATAACAATTCTAAGGTACATGTTGCAGTAAGAATCTTGTCGTATAAACTCGAGATCCTCGCTCGCGGTGTTGGAGCGTTTTGGATTAATGCCAATAATCCAAAATTAAATAGAAAAGAAGAAGGTCTTCTGACTTCCGCTTTCTGTTATCTAAGGTGAGTATGTTGTGATTTTGACGGTGTCTTCGCATTTGCTTTCTCTCGAAGAGTATTCTAAATCTTTTCTTGTCGTCTGAAGGAATGGGTTTCTTATGATTTTGACTTCCAGGCTCTGAAGAAGGCGAAAGCGCCAAAACTTAACTGTCAATAAGGAACTGTAACAATTTCGGAATAACGCTCACACACAGTTCCCACAAAAACATTACTGCTAGAAAGATTTAAAAAAATTCCGCATAGAATTTTTAGAGAACTTTTATCGATCTTTATTCTGAATGATTCGAAAGTAGGTCCAAAAAGCGGCACGAACTTTCGGACCCACCCGATATAAGGCCTTGATGAATAATTTGCTTCGTAAAAGAACTTATCTGCTTTCCAACGATTAAGACTTTTGAGCTAAGAAAATGAGTGAAGTTTAACGCTGGAGCCTCTTTTATTAAAAAACCGCCGACAATTTATGTCATGATTTGTTTCTTCAGAATAAAATAAAAAAGAAAATTATTAAAAAAAAGTCCAAATTTCGAAAATAATGCTGCAAGATGTATAGCAGCAAAAGCGATCCGCTGCAGAGAATTTGATGTTTAACCAATTTCTATTGAAACCGTAATTATTTTTAAAGTGAACAACTTTTTTCTGCTTGATAAAAGCTTGTTATACTGGGATTGTTGCAATAATATTAGCTCATTTCAAAGTAATCGCGTTTTTCAAACGGGCGCCACATTTGGTGGAACTAACATTTCTAAGAATTCTTAGAAGCATTCAATGCAGCATCTCATCCTCTTTTTAAAAGTAATGAAATCTTTGCAGCGCACTCAATGAGCTTCCGGAGAATAATCAAAAACTGCGACACGTGCTTTTTGAGATCGTCTGAGATGTTTCACAATTTTTGAAACTTTCGCATAAACCCTCAGAAGGAGTTCAAGTAACGATTAGAGAGCAAACCTTCTAAGATACAACACAACTTTTTCCTCTTTTCCCTAGGTCGCCGTACTTTAAAAAAAATTTTTTAACCAAAACCATCGATTTTGACAGACCTACATCAGCCACAATCACATCGAACACCATCTTCGGTTTGAAACTTTCGAG